CATTCTAAAATCTCTTGTTAAATATAACATTCTAAAATCTCTTGTTAAATATAACATTCTAAAATCTCTTGTTAAATATAACATTCTAAAATCTCTTGTTAAATATAACATTCTAAAATCTCTTGTTAAATATAACATTCTAAAATCTCATTCTAAAATCTCTTGTTAAATAGGCTATAACATTCTAAAATCTCTTGTTGCATATAATATTCTAAAATCTCTTGTTAAATATAACATTCTAAAATCTCTTGTTAAATATAACATTCTAAAATCTCTTGTTAAATATAACATTCTAAAATCTCTTGTTAAATATAACATTCTAAAATCTCTTGTTAAATATAACATTCTAAAATCTCTTGTTAAATATAACATTCTAAAATCTCTTGTTAAATATAACATTCTAAAATCTCATTCTAAAATCTCTTGTTAAATAGGCTATAACATTCTAAAATCTCTTGTTGCATATCATTCTAAAATCTCTTGTTAAATATAACATTCTAAAATCTCTTGTTAAATATAACATTCTAAAATCTCTTGTTAAATATAACATTCTAAAATCTCTTGTTAAATATAACATTCTAAAATCTCTTGTTAAATATAACATTCTAAAATCTCATTCTAAAATCTCTTGTTAAATAGGCTATAACATTCTAAAATCTCTTGTTGCATATAATATTCTAAAATCTCTTTAAATATAACATTCTAAAATCTCTTGTTAAATATAACATTCTAAAATCTCATTCTAAAATCTCTTGTTAAATAGGCTATAACATTCTAAAATCTCTTGTTGCATATAATATTCTAAAATCTCTTTAAATATAACATTCTAAAATCTCTTGTTAAATATAACATTCTAAAATCTCTTGTTAAATATAACATTCTAAAATCTCTTGTTAAATATAACATTCTAAAATCTCTTGTTAAATATAACATTCTAAAATCTCTTGTTAAATATAACATTCTAAAATCTCTTGTTAAATATAACATTCTAAAATCTCTTGTTAAATATAACATTCTAAAATCTCATTCTAAAATCTCTTGTTAAATAGGCTATAACATTCTAAAACCTCTTATTAAATATAACATTCTAAAACCTCATTCTAAAATCTCTTGTTAAATATAACATTCTAAAATCTCTTGTTAAATATAACATTCTAAAATCTCATATTAAACATTCTAATATATCTAAAATCTAGACCATAACATTATTAACGAATTCTGTGATTCTGGGCCGTAATCACAGACACTTATCATGGGTTGTTGATGTTCATTCTAACCTGGACTCACAATAGCCTGATGCACAATAACTCAAATCTGCACCAGATATGCCTTTATATGCCGAAGCGTCCAAAGATGCTGGTTCCTGTTCTCTCGGCTGCTTCTGAAGGTGGTTTAACCTCAGGCCATCAGTAAATATCACTGGCTACATCCTGCTGACCACAGATGAGAATGAAATGGCTTCCCACTAGGATGACCGCCCTTTCAGTAACTTCAATCCTGCCTGAGAGCGCAGCAGCACACCGCGGCCCCAGACATTTCCACATCATTAGCTGTCATGAGACCGCCTCAGAGGGACAGTGTGAGGCTGTTACCCTGATCTGAGGGCAGTTAGTATTTTCAGTTAATATTTGATGAAGGGAAGCATTTCATAGCGTCAAAAATTAAACCGAGAGGTTATAATGTGGTGTGACCTCTGGGCAAAACCAAATTTGTCTTTTATAATCTTTCAAAAAATCTTTCACCTGTGAAACTATTTTTCTGTTGATAACCAATTAACCAATATTATCGCAGAGCTCTGGAATACTTCATTCTGTTTGGTCATTAGCATGATGTCAATTTATGTATAATGACGTCCATACAATGGTTTCCTACACAGTGGCTCTATTTTTAATCTCTTTTATATCACTTCATAAATTAAACAAATCAATATTTCTTGTCCATTTATTCATTTATGCAGTATTTCTGAAATGTCTGGTGCTTTGGAACCACAAAAAAATGGATAAATGAACTGCATTATATGCCACAAATATTCAATCAATCAATCAATCAATCAATCAATCAATCAATCAATCAATCAATCAATCAATCAATCAATCAATCAATCAATCAATCAATCAATCAATCAATTTGGTCATTAGCATGATGTCAATTTATGTATAATGACGTCCATACAATGGTTTCCTACACAGTGGCTCTATTTTTAATCTCTTTTATATCACTTCATAAATTAAACAAATTAATATTTCTTGTCCATTTATTCATTTATGCAGTATTTCTGAAATGTCTGGTGCTTTGGAGCCACAAAAAAATGGATAAATGAACTGCATTATATGCCACAAATATTCAATCAATCAATCAATCAATCAATCAATCAACGAAATGTAAATAAATTACAAATAGAAAATATTCATCAAAGTATATTATGAATTATAGATTTAATGTTAATAATTATATTTTGTGAATGACAATTTGGATTTAGTATTTTTTCCCAAATTAAAATATATAATTTAGACAATATTTTATATAAAAACACAGCCAAGCAGGTTATAGTATTTAAACAATATTTATCTAAAAATATTTAAATATTTAAATGATTAATATAATGATTTAAAATATTTTAAAATTGATTGAATTGTGATTATTATTATTATTATTATTATTAATAATAATAATAATAATAATAATAATAATAATAA